ACACACACACACACACACACACACCAAAATAATTGTTTTTAATATCCTTCATTGCTATTGGTCAACAGAACCTCAGCTTTACCTTGGCTGCTGCAAGTCAGAGAGAAACCAGAGCATTTTATCATTTTTTTCACTGTAACGACAGTCCTAAACCAGAGGACTGACTCCAGGATTTCAACATGCCCCATCCAAACACCCACCCCAAAGTGAGGAAGCAAAAGTCAGTGATGAAAGCCGGGAGAGGCTTTGACTCAATACAACTACAACAGAAAGACAACAGTTGAGTGTCAGCCCATGTTTGAGTGATGAGATGAGCTTCACCCCGAAATACAGAAGAATTGGGGGTTAGAGGCAAGCATGACCAAGCAGTCCCGGCCACAGTGTGGTCTGTCTGTCATTTCTTCTGTGTTGGTCTACAGAGTCCTTGTTGAGTGAGGGGACAAGCTGGTTCCCATGGGAGCATTACTCTTGCTTGGAAGGTGATCACATGATGGGGTAATGTTTGGAAAGCTGCTATTCCTAAAATCCAGGTGACTGTTGGTTTAAGATGATGGTTATAGACTCTCTACTCCATTAGGGAAGGCTAGAGCAGCCCTGAAAGCCAGCATCAGATGTCTCTTATCTTGGTACCTTTATCCTTGAAGGGAAATGAGATGAGTTAGGTGCTGCCTTTCTTTATAGAAACACTCCTTAGGAGTGGGTAGAAAGATGGCTCATCAGTTAGGAGCACTTGGTGTTCCTGAATAGAACCTGTGTTCAGTTTCCAGCAGCCACACAGTGACTTACAACCATCTTTAACTCCAGGTGCAGGAGATCCAACATCCTCTTCTGGCCTCTGAAGGCACGAGGCATGCAAGCCATGCACATACATACATGCAGGTGTATGCAGGCAAAACACTCATGCACATAAAACAAAAATAAGTGAATCTTTAAAATAAATGCACTCCTTGGATGATTAGCGTACCCACAGGCAGAGGTAAGAGGGGTCTCATGCAAAGTTTCAAGACAACAGAGACATGCAAAAGCAAGGTTGTGGCACCAGGCCTGCATCCTGATCTTCTGTCCTGAGGGCCCACGTTAGAATCTGCTTTCAGCCAAGGCAGCTTCAAAGGGACGCTGACAGTATGGGCCGACCTTTAACTTCACAGGGCTGTAAACATCTGAATCTTAATCAGTCATCGCTAAACATGATTACTTCTCCTAAGGCAGTCCGATGACCCCCAGGTTTTAAACTATCCTTTCTAAAACCTGTTCCTACTTGAAAATTAGTGTTCTGCCTGGTCTCCAAACCCAGTCCTCAGGGCAGAATCCTACCACACACTTTCCAAAACAATCCACATCCAACCTCACATAATGCTTCCCATAGACTTGACTTTACCCAGTAAAGAGAGATCAGGCCCTCATCTCCACAAGGAAGGGTTCAGGCTGGGCCAGCCGCATCATTGGTCTTAGACAGGGGATGACGTTGTGCGGCACTGATTCACTTACCTCTTGACTCAGGGCCCACAGAACTGTGAAAATGACAGGTCTGGATGTAACTGTCCTGGCAGGATTGAAGGCGTTCAAGAGAGAACTCGTACACTCCATGTGACTATTGAAAAATGGGCCCAAGAAATTGAAATTTCCCTAGAAGTCTTCATGGGAGAAGGAAAAGCCTGGTGCCAGCCAGAGGGGGAGCTTGTGTCCTGGAAAGAGATTCCACACAGTCCTGGGCAATTTGTCAGGACAGACAAAGCCAAGACTGTGATAATGGGTGGGACCGCATCACAACCAGGAACTGCCTAGCTCTGCATACCTCTTGCCCTGTATTTGAACATAAACCTCAGGTCAGCATCTGGAAGACAGATATGGAGAATCACTGGGCCTCTTTATTTCTCTTCCTAAGGTGGCCACATTGAATAAATACCTCTCCCCCCCCCTCCCCTCCGCCCTCTTCTCTCTTTCTCTCTCTCTGGCTCACTTGCTCTCACTCTCTGGTTTTCACTATTTTGGTGGTCTAATTGCCCTACTGAAGATAGGTAGCCAGACCGAACTTCTTAGGGCTGTCAGGTCCCAGGCTCTGAGCAACTCCAGTAACCTGAACTGGCCTTCAGCATCAGGCCCCTGCTCTTATGCATACGTGGTATAAGGTCTGAGAACACAAAGATTAACTGTGCACAGCTCCCCTTAAAGATCTCAGAATACAGACTCCATGCCCAGAGACAACCTGCAGACAGCTGGGGGTAAGTAGCAAGACTGGCGTTAGGAAGAGAATGTCCAGAGCAGTGTGTAAGACAGTAACGGCAACTTCGCCTTTGCTAGGACTTGGGTTCCTGTAGTCAAGTCAAATCCTTGAAGTTCCAGAAGCCGGAGGTCTGCCCTAGGAAGCTAGCTGGTGGCAAGAGACAGAGTCCCTGCTTCACATTGCCTTGGGTCCAGGAATTGCTGAAGAAGCCTGAGGAGCAGAGACTTTCCTCTTCCCGTCACCATCCACGGCATCACTGCCCCTCCCATATGGTGTCTAGGCAAAGCTGACATCTCATAGAAGAGGCATTCTGAGAGAACAGCTGTAGCTCAGGATCGGACTGGCCACCAGGAAACAGGCAGTCTACCCCTTTCTCCAAAGCTGACTCTGATAATGAAATTGTTGGAAAGGTCACAGAGGCCCCACCCCTTGTCATACAGACGAAGGAGTGGCTTAGACAGGAATCATTTGCCCGAGGGTCACAGGATCTAACACAGAATCCATTCCACTCTCCAGGCTCCCAGTCAGGCCACACGCCCTGTGTCCATGACTGTAGCCATGACACTCATCTTCACCTGGACCCCAGCTTCTCCGCCATCTACGTTCACCTCACAGTTTCTGGATGCCTCGGATGCACCCATCCACCACTCCTAAGGACAAACCATCACAGCTGCTCCACAGAAAACCACCTTGTAGAACACGCCCATCCCTGTGCGGTGCCCTCCATCACCCTCAGGCCATGAATAGTCATAGCCACCTCTGGCCTCGCCATCTCTGAAGCCTGCCAAGCCCCACTCATGCCTGCTTGTCTGCAGGGGGAGGAGAGGTGCTTTTTTCTTTGTAGCACTCTCCCACCAGCCACCACTTCTCTCACCACTCTCGGGGTGGTGTGGGACCTTGGAGGACAGAGCCGTTAGATGAGGCAGTGTAAAGTCTCATGCAGGAGCCAACTTCATTCAGAGCCTCGGACAATTTATACTTTGAGGGTTAAGAAGGGGCACACGAGTAGAGTCCTCATGAGTTCAAGGGGTATAGAATCACAAGGATAAGCCACATTTGAGGGAAAAAATCCATAGAAACATCGAAAGGACAGTTTAAACCTTTAATAGAGTAACAACATTGGGCAATAGTAAGTCATATGAAGTAAACTCACTCTTTTCAGCTGCACCTGGGAAGATCATGGAAACACATTCCAAGAACAATTCCATGTTTCGAAGAAACTGGGGTCACAAGACTCTTGCCTTATTTTCTTGGAATGTCCTCACAGGCACTCCAGATTCTCCTCACATGACTCCATTCCTGGACCAAGTTCCCACATGCTTCTGTTTTCCATCCCGTCTTTCCTCTGTTCTGCTTCTGTGCCCTAACTAGTCACATCACATATGATGAAGCTAAGTTTATATATTTAATCTTTAATGTTTAAAGTGAGATAAAAATATTTGAGAATCACATCCTACTAAAACATGGTTCTTTTTGTAAGTAAAATGGATACCACAAATAGTTTTCTTAATATTCTTCTTGTGGGAGTGTATACGTGAATGTGTGTTTTGTGTGCCTGCACATGTCTGTGCTTACATATGGAGGCCAGGTATGGTGCCTCAGGTGCCTTACATCTTGTCTATTTTTTTAAACATATATTTTATTTATATTTAAGAACAAGGGTTTTTGTGTGTCTGTGTGATTATGCCAGGTGTGTGTGGGTTTGCCAACAGAGGCCAGAAGAAGACGCTGACTCCCCTGGAGCTGGGGCTGCAGACAATTGTAAGCCCCCCATCCCCACAGTGTGGGTGCTGAGAACCAAACTCTGGTCCTCTGGAAGAGAAGTAAGTGCTCTGAACCTCTGAACCATCTCTCCAACCCCCACCTTGGTTTTTTGTTTATTTTAAAGGCTTTTATTTTTAATGTGTGTAAGTGTTTTACCTACATATACATCTGAGCATCAGATGTGCACAATGTCCACAGAGGCCAGAAGAAGGCATCAGATTCCCTAGAATTGGAGAAGTTACAGATTGTTGTGAGCCACTGTGTGGGTGCTGGGAATTGAACCCAGGTCCTCTGGAAGAGAAGCCAGTGCTTTCCTCTGCTGGCCATCTCTCTGACCCACTCCACTTTTTTCTTAACCCGTTTTTCCCAATGGCCCAGGACTCACCAATTAAGCTAGGCTGGCTGTGGGTTTTTATGTGGTTTCTGGGGATCCAGTTCCTTATGCTTGCAGGGCAAGTACTTTACTGACTAAGCCATCTCTCACCCCTGTTCTTGACATTCTCAATCAATCACCCTCAGCCAAAGAGGAAGCTCCAAACAACCACTGAATATCAGCCCTTGGTAGTGTATGGTAGAGTTGTGGCTATGTGCAGTATACATCTTCCAGAACTTCCAGCCACAGGTCTATGTCCATCCTACTGCTCAGACCAAAGCTTACCAGGAAACCTTTGCTTCTGTGGCAACAGAAAAGAAATTAGAAAATTCAAATAACCAAGAAAGTCTGATTCACTTAATAACAATTATTGTAAGATAATTGTCCTAGTTAGCTTAAACAGTCAAGTTAACAGAGCCTAGAGTCTTGTGAGAAGAGAGTCTCAATTGAAGGATTTCCCAGAACAAATTCCCTGGTGGACACGCCTGTGAAAGACTCTCTTGGTGGTGTAGAAAGGTCCAGTCCACTGTGGGTGACACCACTCCTAGGCAGATGGTCTAAGCAATATAGAAAAACTGGCTAAGCATAAACCCAAGAGCGAGCCAGCAAGCGGCCTTCCTCTATGGTTTCTGCTTCAAGTTCATGCTTGATTTTCCTCCCTGACTTCCTTCAGTGATGGACTGTGGCCTATAGCCTGTAGGAAACCCTTTCCTCCCGTAGGTTGCTTTTGGTCATGGCGTTTGTCACAGCAGAAAGGAAACTCCGCTGGAAGAGAGAAGCTTCACGGAAAAGTAACCTCACCCAGAAGCACACTGCCGCACGGCACTTGGAGGCAGACCAGCTCCTCACATGTACTGTGTTGTTGTTGTTGCTGCTGCTGCTGCTGCTGCTGCTGCTGCTGCTGCTGCTGCTGTTTTTAACTCTGATGAAACACCTCTAGGAAGGAAAGCCACCAAGCAGAGATGCAGTGACTCAAGAGAGAGGAAGGTGACAAGGTCAGGGTGAAGCATCAGTGGACAGACTTGAGAAGACATTAAAGGAGGAAGTCCAGCCACCACCCAGACGGAGGACAACCTGGAACGAGAACAGGACCATGCACCAGCCTGCCATGTTCCCCGAAGGATAGAAGTTATGCAAGTAGGGCCAGGGCAGATGACTTGGGGACCAAGAGCACACACTGCTCCCGCAGAGGACCTGAGTTGGGTTCCCAGCACCCACATCAGGCAGCTCATAGCTACCTGTAACTCCAGCTCCAGCAGGTCTGACACCCTCTTCTGCCCTCCTCAGGCCCCTGCACTCATGTGCACAAACCCACACACAGACACACACACATACACACATATACATAATTTTAAAATAAATAAAAATAAAGCTTTTTTAAAATTACACAAGTAAATATAATGAAAACAGACTGAAGAAACTTAAGACAGACCTAGAGAGGGGGAAAGCAAGCTCATGAATACATTATTGGATATTTTAAAGAAAAGAGAAATGATGGAACAAATTTAATTTATAATTTAAGAACCCTTTCTTTGAAATGAGAGTTTCTATAGTACACACTTATAAGAAATCCAATGTACCAGAAAAAAATTAGGCTGGAATTATTGACCTTATAACGTAGGCTATTAAAGTTATTGAACCCAAATATACAAAAAAGGATCCTTGAAGCCAGACAAAAGGATGAAGCTACTCTGACAGGAAGAAGTCAGGCTTGCCTCATCAGAGCCCAAAGCCAGAAGACAACACCATGATGCCCTCAAAGTCCTTGAGTAACGAGAATGTCAGGAGTTTCATATCTGGCCAAATGGTGCATTATCCACACAGAATACAACAGATGCTTTCACAGAAAATCTAAATAACACTACCCCTGAGGGCCTTCCTTGGAGAAACTTCTAGAGTTTGAATTTCAGCTCATCTTAGGACTGAGTAGGAAAACTAAACCAAGACAACGAAGGTGGAGTTTTGTCTGTATTTTGCAGTAAAATAAAGTCTAAATCAGATAAGAGGATCAGCGAGTGACCTTGTGAAATATAAATGCTATGTGTCTGACTCTGTAGAGATGGACAGCAAATATGAAAATGGAAGAGAAGAGATGGAAGGCAGAACCATATGCTTGCTGCTGCTGCTGCTGCTGCTGCTGCTTCATTTATAGCAGCTATGGTGCCCCACCAGGCATGGTGGCTCTACAATCCCAGCACTCAGAAAGCTGAGACAGGAGGATTGCTCTGAGTTCAAGGGCAACCTGGACTATATAGTGAATTCTAGGACAGCCTGGGCTACAGACCTGGATACTGCCTATAAATAAGTAAATAAACAAATGTTACTTAAAAATAAAAATAACTAGCTGGGCGGTGGTGGTGCACGACTTTAATCCCAGCACTTGGGAAGCAGAGGCAGGTAGATCTCTGTGAGTTCGAATCCAACCTGAACTACAGAGCAAGTTCCAGGAAAGGCACAAAGCTATACAGAGAAACCCTGTCTCGAAAAACCAAAAATAAATTAATTAATTAATTAAATTAAATAAATAAATAAAAATAAAAATAACTTTGATATAAAGAATATCATTTGAAATGAAAATAACAGGTCCTAAAAGAAACAGAATACTGAGAGTATAATTGCAACAGTCTGAATGAAAATGGCCCCCATAGATTCACAAGTAGTGGCATTATTGGAGGTGTGACCTTGTAGGAGGAAGTATGTCACTGGGGAGTAGGCTTTGAGGTTTCACAAGCTCAAGCCAGGCCTGGTGGCTCACGGTTTCTTCCTGCTGCCTGTGGATCCAGATGTAGAATTCTCAGCTCCTTCTCCAGCACCATGTCAGCCTGCATGCCACCATGCTTCCCATCATGACGATAATGGACTAAATCTCTGAACTGTAAGCAAGCCCCAGTGAAATGTTTCCTTTATAAGAGTTGCTGTGGTCATGATGTCTCTTCACAGCAATAAAACTCTAAGACAATAATAATATTACTTGAAATTTTGTAGAAAGGGAGTAGAGATGGAATATGGAATAAATAAGAAACAAGGAAATAAATGACGAGAGATTGGGGCTAGAGAGATGGCTCAACAGCTAAAAGACAGCCATGTGAGCACAAGATCCCCAGGACCCACAAAGCCACACAGGGTAGCAGACATGAGGAACCCAGAGTTCCTACAGCGAGAGGGGAGATGCTTTGGAAGCTCGCTGGCCATCTCACCCAGTGTAAACAGCAG